CAAACCCATATTTATTTTGATTGTTTTATTGTTATTATGATGGTTATAAAAATTCTGTTGTGCATGTTTTTTGTTTTTGTTTGTTTGTTTGTTTTTTCTTTAACCACGGTCGTGTTGAAATGTGCGCTAATTTGGTTTGCAATAATGGGATTTCTTAAAGAAAACTTTTTATTGTCAAACAAAATTCTATTCTAGTTTATTTAAAGAATTTGCAATAAGTTTACTCAACCTATGTAAATGTCGCTGTATATATATCACAAGTAAAAATATTCAAGACGGACGAGTTAGAGGGTAACTCCCTCTGAGTGTGGGGGCATAATTTCATTAGTCTATGGGCTCCAAAAGGTCATAATCCAACCCTGACTGAAAGGTAGTATTAAGGGTCTCTTAATTAGGTTGTTACGGTTGATGACAAGCATGATAACTATTCTTTTCTTTATTTTTAATGACAATCTAATAAATTATTCGAGATCCCCCTTCCCCGATTAAAAAGGCCACTCTTTACCACTCAAATCACTGTCAACAGGCTTTGTGATGTTTTACAAACTACTTCTACAAAATTAGTATTTTACGAAAAAATAATTTAATTTGCCATAAATAGAAATTAGACTTTAAAGTGTCAAACAATTTTATCTTTTACCTAAGAAATACGTGCCACTTTAAGACGGGTGTGATCATAGCTCTCCACAACTTCATGTACTTTGTAAAGTTTATCTTTTTGTTATCGCTCCTAAACTATATTCTGTTAACCATTTACACACTCTTGATAGGTAGGTTATTCGCTACTTTACTCTTACCTTCAATATGTTATGTGAGTGTCATATTATCCAAGCCCCCTTTCCTTATTATGTCCTAGAAATTTCAACTGTCTCTTTTTTATTCTAGGTATGTGTCCTTTTTGTTTTCCCTTTTCTTAAAATTTCGTCATTGCTCACATATTCAGCCCATGGTATTCTCAGTATCCTTCTGTAGAACCACATTTATGCTGGGTTTTTTTTAGTGAAGGTTATTCTTCATTCATTGCTATATAAGAGAATCGATATTACACAGCAGTTCAGTGCTTTTTTCTTTGTTTATAACAAAATCCGATAAATACAATTGAATCGTAATTATTTTTTATCCAGAACAACACGTTTGAATTTATCATTGTATAACCTACTTAATCTGCAGATTTTAAACCTTGTCCTTCATTTTGAATTTCACTACATCCTGTTAACCCAATTTTCATGTCATATTTCATGAATAAGTTTAAAAAAAATTAAATGCGAAATTATAAATTTGTCTTCAACATTAAAAGTCTAAGGCTCTTTTAAGTAACAAACGTTGCCTCTCTCAGACATTTTAACTAAATTATAAAAGTGTTTCACTAATTAAAAATATAGATAATTAAAAATATAAATAATTAAAAATATAAATTGTTGTCGAAGATGAAAAGGTGGAAAAGTATTAAAAAATTTTTGTCATATTTTTTAAACAGATAATATGTACATAAATCAAAACAGTTATATATATATATATATATATATATATATATATATATATATATATATATGGTAATTTTTCTCATCTGTTTTGTTTTGACAAGAAACTTATTCCCAAACTAATTATCCTGCAATTAATACATGAAAATAAATTTTAAAGTTAAAATGTTAAATGCCAAAAAAATAACGATAACTACTTAATAATATGTAGGCTTCCCTTTTGATTGAATAACAGTGGCATGAGCCTACGAAGTACAGTAGCTGTTGCATTGGTATAGTTATTTACCCGCTACCCCACGCAGCAAGATATGGTACAAAGCCGAGTTTTAAAGTAGGGTATCCGAGCCCGTAGGCCTGGGCAAATATTCCCTATAGACTACGTAAAAACGAAGTCAGCTTCCCGAGACGAGACTCTACCCTTCGGCAGAACCTCATCCGGGGGATACCCTCTGACATGTGCCAGGTAAGTATTGTTGCATTGGTATATCTATCCAGACAAATTCCAGAGCTGTTGATAACTTAGTTGTGCTTGTTTGTTAATGGTAACTACAGGAAATTTAGTGAAGTTTCTAACCTATATATGTTCAATAGGTTTTAACCAGGCGAGTGTTACTGCAATTGGTTATGGTATCATGTTAGGAAAAAACTATTACCACTAAGGACACTGATGAGTATAAAGGAATAAAAATGGTTTGGGTTAAGATTTGGGTACGTAACACCTGTCAAGACAGACTCTACTTTCACTAGTGACCTTTGCGAATACCAATAGAACAGAACTGTCCCCCAGCTTACACAACAACCTAATGACAAGCTGGATACATAGACTAATGCAATTTCCATAGACGAACCCAACCGTTTATCTGAAAGAGCTGAAAAAAATGTGACTCGTCTGACCAAGAGACCCAGGTCTACTCTTCCACCATCCAGTGGCAATATTCTCTGGCTCAGGAGTAACCGGTTCTGCGGTGTCGATAATGGTATTCTTGTTGATCAATAACTACGAAACCACTATGGGATGCAGTTCTTGTATCACCAGTGTGCGACCACAATTTTCACAAGCCGCTGATAATTCTTCGGTAGAAAAACCAAAGAAGTTACCATCTTCGAAATAGAGTATCCCATTTTTCTAATCGAAACAATTCCCCATTCAAAATGACCACGTCACATGACTGTTATAACTACACTACCTCTTTACCTGTTAGTATTATACCATTTGACTGACTTTTTCTCTACAAGTAGAGAAAGAAAATACCCAGTGTACTCCTATCTTTAATTTTTTGGCATTTCAGTTTATTTCCATTTAGAAATTGGCCCAAAAGAGTTTCGCTGTTTTAAAAAAGAATTATCGCGTATCGTTCATTTTAATTGTAGATTTAAGATTTTAAATTTGATGATACTCTAAATTCCTGATTTTTGTTTTTTATCGAATACGTCAAATTTCATATTTAAACACTTTCTTTGAAATTTTACTCCTACTAATAAAGCTTATTTCTTAGAATTATAATATAAAATTAAGCGCATGTGTGTGCGTGCGTATCCATCCAGAATTTTATTTAAAATAATAAGAGCTAAACCCATGAAATAATTTATATTTTGCATCAATGTTGGAAATGATTTTGCACCATTTATTTAGATTTATATACACGTTCAATGTCGCCTTAGTCTAGCAAACACCGTAATAATATATCTTCAAACCCCAGCATTCAGCAACATTGACGAAGCATCTAATGTGCTTGCATTTCATTTCGGATTGTGGGTTAAAGAACCAAAAAAGATATACGGATGCATATACGAAACTACGATAAAGAATTACTATTTAAACGGTGAGATAAAAATTACTGAAGCCAGTGAAAATTATTTTTCCCATGAAAATAATTAGAACTGAATTTCTATGGCAATTCAAATTCTACGTTTATTTTTATTGCGCATCGTTAAATTAAAATTGAAATTAATTCTATAATATGTTTCGTGGTACTGGTTGTTTGACAGAAATCGATTTATACAATCATTTAACTGGAAAATCCACCACAAAATACATTATGACCAAGTAGTCTTAATTCCTAGTATCTGACGAGGAGTATGATGTTGTATCAGAGAGTTTATCTGTGAAAATAATAGTGTAGATCGATGGTCAGATGCAATGTATCTGGTGAGATGAATATGATCTGTGAATGTCATTACGTAGATCGTAAATTACCCCAAATCCAATTAGACACTAATCAAGTTATATGTAAGAGGAACGAGTCTTAAAAATGTTCCGAAAATTCTAAATAAATCAGTACATGATTTAAAAAAGGTTTTTAAGTTTTATTTCAGGTGAAAAATCATATAAGGTTAATTCCATAAGGAAAATGGTTGTCTGTTTTCCAAGAAAAATTCGCCAGGAAACGCCAGTATTATTTCTGAGGTAAACAATCGATATAGGGCGTAGTCAAATCCCAATAATACGATAATGGATCAATATTTACAAAATTCGGTTGTCATTAAGTCAAATTACGTTAAAATCAAATATTGTCTTAAAACAAACCTAAATCGAGGAATATTAGTTCACATCGAAGCCCAGTCGATAATCAACATATGCAAAATAAATGAGTCCTAATAACTGCCTAAAAATGTTAATTCAAAGCATGAAATTAAAATAAAAAAAAAAGTTTATTTAAGATAGAAACTAGGTTATCTAAAGTTAAGAGCCATATCGTCCTAGTCAATAAATTTCTGAATCGATGAATATTAAAATAAAAAAAAAACAATTGATTTCTAATCAAGGTATAAAATAAATGATATACCGGTGATCTTGAAATTTGAATGTTAACATTAAAATTTTAATTAGTAAACATGTCTGCTTGAGGAAGCAGTTTCTTTGTATAACATTAAAATCGAAGTTAACTCGGGCTTGATCTAAAGAAAATATGTCCGGGTTCTGATCTTTAAATTACACTAATCCAATCAAAATAATATCCGTCAATGAAGACATCTGGATTTGAGCGGACCAAAGCTTCTTGAACGCCATTAAAAAACAATGATTTATAGACTAGTGCGTGGTGGGTTTAACATACAATGTCTCTCTAGATGGATAAAAGGAAAATTAATGAAAAAGTATCCTAGAAAACTCTAAAAGAGAAACTATTGAAGACTGAAATTCTCGAATATATTTTCATAACATCCCGAATTAACTTTTCGATAGGATTAATTGTGTACCTCTCTTCGTTTACAAAGAAAATAAATATTCAATTAGAAAGAAATATAATTCAAATACAATTAACAGAAAATGTTCTAATTTATTCTCCTCTTAATCGAATGGTCATTAAACTGGGTGCTTCGGTTATCGGACAACGGATTATTTTATATAGTTCATATATAAATCCAATATTGAATGTTTAGTTTATTAGCTATGAAAATAATAGAATAGCAGATATAAATAAAATCAGAAAATGAAATAACTTGTGCAAATTAAAAACAGACTATCAATGAAAAAATTATAGAGTGTATTTTTTTTTACTCCATTTGGGGCTTACAACGGCATCACGTAGAAACTGGTTCCCATACAATCAACGAAGTTAAGCAACGTTGAGCATGGTCAGTACCTAGATGGGTAACTGCCTAGGAATACCAGGTGCTGTAAGTGATATAATGGATAATGGCTCAAAATTGTTAAGATGAAAACAGAGTTCCAATTTCATTTGGGTTCGTTATGTTCACACGCGCAAATACCATTAGGAAAGGTATCAATCCAGTTCTTCTTCCACCGGCTATGGGTTAATTAGCAAGATTTGTATCACTAAATCATTATTATGTAAAAAAACCTTACAATTCTGCAAAAGGTTGATAAGCCGTAAAAAATGAATGAATCAATCAATCATTTACTCCATTTGCTGACTAATAATATAAAACAAGATGTGGAGGTAGCCTAACGATTACCGGTACAGAACGTGGAATCGGCAAGCCGTGTTCAAATGTTACGTTCACTTTTTACTAAAGCATGAATCCATCGCTTTTCTTTCACCAACTATTAAATAATAGGGTAGATTTGGTTCTTCAATCTTGGATAGTAACCAATCTGACTACTCTCAATTCTAAACCGGCGAGAAAGCAATGGGAAACTACTTCACTATATTTCTCCAAATGTCATATTAATCCAAAGATAATAAGGAAAAAGAATACGTAGAAAGTCATAACTGACCACGTCCTGTTAGGACAAGGCATTTTTAAAAATTTTAAATCGATTACACTCTGGCATGCCAAATTATGTATGCAAATTAGATGTACTTTAAGAGTTTCTCTTATAAAATATATGCCTGCATATGCTTCAAATTGAAGAAAAAGTATCGATTCTGTTAGTGAAGCATGTTTCTGATGTTTTGTGGTTTATGGCCACATTATATTGAAACACAGGTTCCCGTACGATCATCAAAAATAAGCAACGTCGAACCAGGTCAGTACAGAGATGAGAGACCTTTTGGAAATATCAGGTACTGTAAGCTTGGATGTGCGGGATGGATAATGGCTCAGAAATGTTAATTGAAAAGCCGAGTTCTAACTCCCGTTGGGTTAGTTATATTCACTTACGCGTAAATAATCTTGGAAATTAGCCTTTTCTCCACAGCTATGGGTTAATTAGTAAGACTTATCACTAAATCATTATTATATAAAAATATCTTACAATAGGAAAAACTTTTCTGTCTTTAAATAACCTACAAAAGCTTGATGAGCCGATAAAAAAAACAAAATAAAAATAACGAATCCATCAGTCAATCACTCTAATCTGTTTTGATCACTATCTATCGTGCTAATTATTAAATAATCTCAAATTGTCATTAGACAATCTCTTTAGTTACATTGAAAATCATTTTGAGTCTTTTTACACCGCTGAAAAACAACATTTTTTAAAGGTAAGTTTATCGTTGAAAAAGATGCTTCGCAAACATATGTTCCTTAAATGATCGGTCGGAAAATTTATAAATTTTCTTGTGAATATTTTCATTGTAATAGTATTTGTTTTCTTCGCAACTGGAACTTTTAAAAAATACATTCAGACAACTTTCGAGTACATTTCTAATTGCACATAACTTTTATCACATATTACCATTTCACGCCTTAGTTTATAGTTTCTTTACGAGTGAAAATTCTATACAACGAAGTCCTTCAATAAAAGGTTCAAGTTGCTTATCTAGTTGACCGACTCAAAGGTTTCGCGTCAAGATGCTCATCAGGGCTAGGTGTTTGATAAATCTATTGAAATTATTGTTAGATTTTACGCTTTGTAACGAATGAACACTAACCAGAATAGTATAAATATGAGATCTGATAATAAGTTCAATAGATTTATTAAACATTTGGACGTGAGTCGGCGAACCAGATAAATCATTTGAATTTTTCTTTATTCATTGCATTTAATAGCTTGAGTTATACATTGAGCGCTTTTCTCGAAGAGATTCTGCTATCCTGAAAAATATGCTAAATTCTCGTAATTTCCACGCGTTTTTTCCAGTTTTATTATTATTATTATCATTATTATTATTACAACAACAACAAAGTCATGCAAGTTTTTAAAATTCCTTTTTAAAAGAAGGAGACTCTTCAGGATTGTGACAATTTATTTCTAACACATTACAAAGAACAGGACCAACTCTCGATAAAGGTGAAATGAAAGCAAGTATTGTGTTTTGACTTCAATTCTGATTTTTCTTTAATATTATTATTATTATTATTATTTGTGTCAGATTGTCTATTGAAATAAGAAAATTTTATAAAAATAAACGAACTATCTTTTTAGTCAGATTGTAAGTCATTCTGAGTCTTTTTACATTTCTGAAGTACATTTTTTAAAAGGGAAGTTTGTATTTTAGAAAGATGCTTCATAAAAATATATTCATTAAATGATCAGTCATAAACTTACAAATTTTATTCTAATGAATATTTTCATTGTACCTCCAACGTTGATAATAATCCAATCCATTAAAACCAATTCAAGTTATTTTTAAAGGATTAAAAACTGAACTAAAAAAAAAAAAAGAAACGCAGAGAATAGGGAAAACTCAATAATTAAAAGTTTATAAATTTGTCAAGAGAAAGACTAGAAGATCCTTTTTGAAGTGAATAACATTGCAGACAAAACAGTGAATCTCATCTTTAGTATTATTCTTATTTATCTGTTTAATTTCTGTTAATGAGATGAAGGTGGAAAAGGCAAGCAGAGTTCAAATTTAATCCGAGTTTCTTGTCTTTACTTTGTATTTATATCTTTGGGAAAGACAAATTTATATCATTTTTTTTCCAATTATAGTAAGTAAACTAGGCTTTCCAGCCAGTCTAAGAGAAAAACTTCTGGATTCAAGACCATAGAGAAGGCAACAGGAAGCGTAATTTACCTGTCTTCCGGACTAAGGCAGGATGTAACACAATCTTTTTCATGTAGGGAGCCTATATGCATACATATACATATGGGCAAAGGACAAAAATTGTCACAATGGCGTCGATATTACAACGACCGAACCTCTCTTAGTACAATGTAATGGGGTGCTGCTACAGGGTTGGTATCTGTGGGGGACATTATCCCATCTCGAATGAGAAGAAAACAAATACTATTACAATGAAAATATTCACAAGAAAATTTAATTTTACGACCGACCATTTAAGGAATATATTTTTGCGAAGCATCTTTTTCAAAGATAAACTTACCTTTAAAAAATGTTGTTTTTCAGCAATGTAAAAAGACTCAAAATGATTTTCAATTTAACTAAAGAGATAAAATAAAAATAGAAACAACCTAATCTAAAAATTGAATCTAAAACCCGCTACTTTGATACCAGCCAAAAGGTCAAGAAGGCAACAGGAAGCCATTCCACTATCTTCCTTAAAAAAAAAAAAAAAAAAAAAAAAACAGCAATTCACAGATATTAAGAGTCTATGGAGACTAATAATCGCTTACAGATTACTGAACAGATAATCTTGAAAGTCGTATTTTAAAAAATTAAAACTTCCCAGACAAAAATTGCATAATAATTTTCATTTTTTTCTTCCTTTTTTATTATTTGGAGGTTTTTCGATAATCATTTCTAGTAATTCCGAGTTTTAATTGTAACATACATAGTCTTTTGTACAAGGTTAATTTGCGTGCTTAATCTTCCTGTAGATAAAAAGGGATAAACTTTTATCGTTCACCTATAGTCAGTAGACAGTAAGATTAATCAGTAATTTTTGTCTGCAGTAACCCAAAATAAATATAGTCATAATATTTTACAAAAATCGCAAAGCTCTGCCATATTGACGCATTTTAGGATTATTATTATTATTATTATTCACATACGTCGATAAGATTGCATATTCTTATTTTTATTCTACATTTTAATTATTCTTCTTTATATCGTGTCCTTTCAGAATGTTGGCGATCATGGCTTTCCACAATTTCCTGTCCTTTGTAACTTTTAACAAATTGTCATTTTGTTATCTCTTGAAATGACACCCATTTACTCAAGCTCGCTAGATAGGTTATGTGTTGTTTTCCTTTGTGCCTCTTACCTTCAATCTGTCCTGTGAGTATCAAATTTTCCAAGCCCTCTTCCTTCATTATATGACTGAGAAATTTAAAGTGTCTCTTCCTGATGTTAAGTATAAGTGTCCTTTTTGTTTCGATACAAGTAGATTTAAAACCTTTGAGGAACTTAGAATACGTATCCTCAATAGTGTCAAATTATAACGATTCGTATATGTTTAATGTATAGCAATTCGTATATTTAATGTATCGAATCATAGAGAGATTATAGTTTAATTCGTGAATGATAAAAGTATAGATTATTTAAAAATCAACTATGCTTGTTTAAGAGCAAGGTACTTCAAAGTCTGATAAGTCTTATATAAATACAAAAATTAAAATTGTATTTATAGAAATAAATTAACCTATTATAAATTTAACATTTCTTTGGTTTTTTTTCACTATTGTTCACTCAATACAAAGCCCAAGAGTCACTCCAAATAGAAGATTACTAAATTTGGTAGTTGTAAGGGCGTACAGGAAGGGAGCAAGATGCGCATACTATGAGGATATGAAGGATAGACAACGGCTTACTGTAGACTTAAAAAAGTTAAGATTGTAGTAATCGGAGGAGCAACCTCTAGGGAGTATATCCCACAATGCAACAATTCTGGGGACGAAGCTGTCTGAATGGAACTATTTTTATATCACTAAAGAGCTGATTAGCTCATTATTTTTTTAAATTTAAATATAATTGAAGTTCAGAAACTTTACATGTGGAGTGTAAATCTGAATCTGTAAAACTGAATATATTTTTATGGAAATATTCTGAAGTAAAACAGAATATTGGCTCAGTAACAAATAATCTGGAAAGTACCTGTTTGAATCAAAACTAATAATAACGATAACATTAATAATACAACTGAAAAAAATACGTGAAGATTAAGAGAATTTGACGTATTTTTCAGACTAGCAGAAACGCACGAAAGCGCTCAAGAGAACTCGGTCTATATAGAGTCAATAAATCAAGAAACGTTTTTAAGTGACTTATCTGCGTTACCGACTCAAGAGTTTTGCGTCGAAATGCGCATTACGATGTTTGATATATATATATCTATATATATATATATATTAAGAAAATTAATGACAATTTTTTAAAAAAATTGTGTGGCGCGTTACGTCATTTAAGGACTTCATCGAACTAATGTGATGTTTCTGTTCATGTAACTACACATGCGCACGAAAGAGCCGGGGGGGGGGTTAATATAAAAACGTGAACGTTGATTATAATTATGCACAGATAGGAAACGTTGTATATTTTAGGACGCTGACATTTTTAACTTTTAAATTATGTCTTTTTTTTTCTTTTTTTTCTCGTATATAAATTTTATACATCATTTTCTCCAATTTGGTTAATGGTGGTATATATCCAAGATTATTCAAACGTTCAAATACACTTCTTTGAATTTTTTATTGTTGACAACGCAACGTGGTTTACGGGCATATCACACTAAAACACCAGTCCTCGTCCAATCACCGAAGTTAATCAACGTTGAATCTGGTCAGTACTCAGATGGGTGATCGCTAGGGAATACAAGGTGCTGTAATTTACGCGACAGGCCTAGCAAGCCAGTGATGTATACAATCTCCTTGTTTATACTAACAGAAGACCACGATATATGGAAGTGCTTCTGAACCTACTGAAGTTGGGTGAGATGAGGTGAATGAAGTGAATGACATCACAATGTTCCAGTTGACCCATTCCCCGAGTATAAAAAACCGGTGAATTAATTGATCTGTTTTACAGCGTCCAGCGACATGTTCTATGAGTAAGAATTGATTTTTTTCTTTCGCGGATTGAACCTGACAATGGGTGAAGAATAGATCGGTCGAAATTTTGTGATGACAACAGCAAAAATACGAAGACATTTGTTGAGCGTCCGAATAATATTGACTCTTCTCAAAGTTACAAACAATAAACTCTAGTTATGCTGCTTCCATTTCTTTAATGTTCTTTAATTGTCAAATCTTCCCTATAGTGTTGCTTCACTGAGTTGATGTATATTTCTCACGCAAATATTGAATTCCGCACTTCCAGTGAACTACGTGAGTTTTAACCACTACTAGACCGTGTCATTTAGAAAGTCGATTTTTTTAATCTTAAATCTAATGTCTGTTAGAAATTCTTATGTAATGTTTGTTAATCCTCTTTCTCTATTCGAAACCCACTCGCTCGTCTGTCGTTAGTCAGGTGCTCCGCGGTTACTCAAAACTGAACGTTATCGTTAATAATAGCCAGTCAACAGCACGCCCTCTAGTGACTTGAATAGTTCTAGTTTCAAGGCAGATCACTCAACAGGGTTTATATCTATGTTAGGAAATATGATTATTGGGATACAGAATATGCGTTGTTTCTTTAATTATCAGTTTTATTCTCTGACTGGTTCTAACTTCGTTACAGAACAATGGTCATGCCCACACGTCTTTCTACACATGATCAGCTATATCTGATTTCAATGCCTATCCACTCTGCATATTAGAACTTTACTAGATTCCTTAACCCTTATTTCTAATAGGAAGTTGTGGAGAACCATGATCACTCAAGCCCTGAAGAGACACAGCACATAGAAATATCAGATGTAAACGAGTATTTCTGAGATGAGGTATTATGTACACTATTTACATTATTCGGACTATTGTCCTCATCTTTGTTGCCATATTTATCACAACGTTTCGGTCGTTGTACGCTCCGGCCTTCTTCAGGTGGTTGGAAGGACACATAGACGTTAGTTAGATCCAGTGACACGACCCAAAGAGTGTCAGTTCAATACCTGGTTAAGACGGTGGAGAACTTGGAGAGGGGAATTAACAGGAGATAACTGATAACTGACATCCATTAGACATGGCACGTGGAACTAGAACAGTCTATCCCAGCGAGCGTAATAAAGGGTTCAGTTCGACATTCCAACCACCTGAAGAAGACCGGAGCGTACAACGGCCGAAACATTGTGATATAAATATGGCAACAAAGATGGAGACAATAGTCCCAATAATGTAAATAGTATAAACAAGTAAGGTTCAATTTCTAAGACGTGATGAAATATATTCGTTCAAACCAGTTTCCGTGCTTTTGTTGTATTCATTATAATATTCCTGTTGTCTTATTTCATAAACTTCCATAAATTTTGAACGGGGACTTTAATTTGATTAATAAATTTAAGCTGCTTTCATTTCTTTAATGTCCAATATCTTACCTAATTGTCACATCTTCCTTATAGTGTTGCTTTACTGAGTCGATATATATTTCTCACCCAAATATTGAATTCTTCACTTACAGGGAATACTTTTGATCTAAAACGCTGACGCTTCTCTGCTAAAAAAAAAAAAAAAAAAAAATTAGTAGGATTATTTTAATTTCGTCCCAGAAAAGTGGCTGTGTCCCCCATTTCTTCATGCAGATGATCAGCTACACCAAAATTCAAAGCCATGGATTAGTTTTTCGATATTCCTCAGACCTTTTAGTGGGTGACTGGTATCGTCAACTGCGTAGTGTTGTATACAAATTTCTTGGTCGTGTTTTCTGGTGAGATGTCTAAGAAAAGTGAAACTATTATGGAATGCTGTCTTCATGTAGAACGAACTTGCTCTATAGCTTTGGTTGGCAACCAGTCTATGATAAAATCAGCTGAGAACTGGTCAGTACTAGTTTAGGCTTGTATATGTAGTGATAATTCTCCATTAGAAAAACATATTCTCCGTCACACAAATTAGTCACAAAGTTAGTTGTTTTTGTCTTTAGCATTAAGAGCAATTAGTTTTAACTATCTTCATTCAAAAACTGATTCGGATTGTATTGTGTCAACTGTCATAGAATGTTTGTTTTTTTATTATTATTATCAAAATTGGCACATTTGTTTCTTGATTCTAACATGGTAGAAAATAACATTTTCGACATAAGATAAAACGCATAAACATCTTTAATCTTAGTAAAGTTTTTTAAACTAAAAAAAATATTTGTGTAGTTTCTGCAGATGGTATTGTGAAAGAACAAACGGGTCAAAAATGGTTTACGAAGTTCCATCCTAGATATTTGTTGCTGAACGATGCTCCGTGGCCGGGTGGACCATTGGAAGTTTGATAGCAAACAAATCAAGATATTGAGAATAATCATATGATGCGAGAGATTTCAAATCCCCAAAATCCAAATAATGTTTAAAATCATTTGCATCAGTTCGATTATACTAGACCTTTTGAAGTAAGGTTTAAAGTAACAGATATTAGGTCAAGCGAAATGAACCAGTACAAACTGTATTAAAATCTGATCTTCAGTTAAAGAAGGTGAGAAAACAATTCAATTCTCCGGGAGACTGCAAAAACCACTTACAACAGTTATCTTCCGAGAAATGTAAAAAGCATAGGGTAGATGGAATTATGACATTGTCTAAAAGATAGGAGATTCGTGCTGGAAATTTTTCACTGGACGATGCTCCACGGTCGGGCAGAGTGGTTGAAGTTGACACCGATCAGATCGTGACATTACTTGAGAATCAGATTAAAAATATACAAACTGAACATTGAAAATCATTTACACCAATTTTGGTATGTTTGTCACTTATGTGAATGTCACATAAATTAAAAGTAGGAGGAAAAGAAGCAAAGACATTCTTCTTGTGTGCAGTTCACTACTTAAAAGGAAACAAAAATCTCTCGTGTTTTAAAGGAAACTTTCATCGTCAATGAAAATGGATTTTTTTTTTTACAACTATGTGTAATGCAAAGAAATTGATGTTATGTATCTGTTGGTGTTGAAAAGGATTCTTCAATTATGGCCTCCACCCGGAGAAATAAACGACTTTTTTTTTTCGATCAAATACTGTTTTTATTTAGTAGACAGCAATTGACGGACAGAGTGCATATGGATTTAGTTAAAAGAATATGCTTGATGTTATATCATGATAACCCTAAAAAAAAATATGTTTCTTTGATGATCAAGCAAAAAATGCTACAATCTGGTTGAAAAGTCTTCACTCATCAAGCGTATTCATAAGATATTACTTATGAAAAACTAATGTGATATTTACAGAATTTTCTTAAAAAATAAAATTTCCTTTTTCTGAAAGAATTCAAGAAAGATAATTTTAAAAAAAAAGAGAATGGAATTATGAAATTGCTTAAAAACTGCAGAAGATATCGAGACAAAACTATATATAGTGTCTATTAAACTTAATGCGAAAATAAAACAAAAAAAAACTTAATTTTCCTAATAAAGAGTTTAAAAGAGGCTTTTGGTCAACTCAGTAAATTAGAAAATATTTTATTCTTTTATTTTATTAATACTACATGATTTCGATTCAATGTACATAAAAGAAATCGATATTAAGTAAAGAAAAGATCCTTTGATGTGGGATCGAGAATAACCTTTCACTTATTGAAAAGCAAGGTATAATCTGAATTAATTTAGGAATAATTAATACATATGTGTGATGCTTAGAGAAAGGATTTTTTTTCTTCTGGGTAATTAACATCAATACAAGTCGAAAAAGTTCCATAGTATCAATTACTTTTTATGTAGACGGTTATTGTTAGATTAATCACTAGTAGTTTCAGTTGTGATATATCAAAGAATCAATTAATCCCGCATATCTATGTAAAGTACTACCTTCATATTGCTTGGTCATTATGAAAAGAAAAATATATTAACTATCCACGTACTGATTAAACGCAAGTATATACAAACAAGTCTATTACACCTAACAAATAATACGAAAATTACTAAATTTTAGCGCGTTTTAAGGTGAGCAGATTTTTGTAAGGAAAGTACCCAAATTAGAGCAACAGTAGGCAATATACAGAAAAGTTCAATATACTTATCTTAGTGCCGACTTTAAGTTTCGCAGATACAACGCTGTGTCAAATAAACCCATTGAATTAATCAGCAGATAACACGTTTAGATACGCTGCATAAGGAACATTTCAAATATGTTCTACCCCCGCAAATTGTAATCATGTGACAATATTTAAAAAAAAATTATGACAACATTAAACTTAATTTGTTCGATTTTCATAATTTCACCGTTGTAAAAAGTGTTAGGAAAATAAATCCATCAAATTCAATAACAATCATATAATTCAAAATATTAGATAATCATCGTAATTATATATAATAAAATGTTTATTTATTTCCTCTCAGAGTTTCGTCGCATATTTTATTTATTTACATGCAATGCTTATTTGTCAGCGTCTTTTAAGACAAATATGTCAGTCAATTGCCATACGTGAAACACGCTTAGGCGTTCGATTTATGACTGACTAGGCGGAAGATTTTCCCGCAGTAGGCTGCCGTTTCTTTCTGCCGTAGACTAGTTACCAACTAAGGCTATAAGACCCAGTCTGTCCTGCTATTCTGGAGGGAGAAGAGATCTATTTATACCTTCCTCGAGGGTATTTGCGCGTCAGTCAGTCAACTGTCATACGTGCTAAACGCTTGGACAATCATGTCTCTATAGATTCATGACTGACTAGGCAGACGATTTTCCAGTTTCTTTCTGCGGTAGACTGGTTACCAACCAAGGCTATAGAACCCAGTCTATCCTGCTATTCAACTCAT